CAAATTTGAGATTAGATGGAAGGAATCTACTTAATCCTGCTTTGTACTGCAGGGCTGATGGAGGCGCTGGGGGAAGGCTGAGCCRTGGGGAGACTGCAGCAGCCTCATCCGCAGCCTGTGTTCCCCTGGCACCTTCGGAAACCCCTGTCCTCTGCTGGCGTTGGATGCGGTGACAGAGAGGCTGGTTCCTACAAGCACTGCAGGGTTGAGCTGCCCCCGGGTTTGCGGCTGCGCCTGGTCGGCAGAGCCGTTGCCGCAGCTCCCTGGGAGAGCCAGGATTCGCAGGCGGCTTCTCCCTCACGTGGAGCCGGGTGGTACCGTGCCGGGGAAGCTCCGCTCTTGCCGCGCTGCTGCTGAGGAAAGAACCGCGGTTTTGCGGAAAAGTTCCAGCCCGCTCCATATCTGCTCAGTTTGTTGCATTTGACAAATTACCTCGAATGATGAACTGTGGAGCACTGGGGAGCTGGGCATGTGCTGCAGAGGGATCTGCAGACTTGAACAAAYGGGAGGCAATTTGTGACCACTTGTCCTTGCTCCGAGCTGGAAGTGGAGGCACCTGGTGACTCACATGGAGCCTSTTGGGGAGGGTGAAGTACTTGGAGTGGGTGCAGGCAGCGTTTTAAAATGCAGATTGATGGGATTCTGGAGGGAGGATGTGGCAAAGCAGCCATGATCCTCGAGTGGAAATTAAATATTGACCTGTGAAGTAAGTAAAGGAAAAGAAGCCAGCAGATGAGAATGCCAAGTTCATTGGGCTCGTGGCACTGTACGCACACACGTAATCCCTGCTATGCAATCTCGGCACTCGTGGTCTGGTTTCCTGCCTTTCCTGAGCATTGCAGGGTGAAGCCTAGATAACATCAGGGCTTTGATGCTCCCGGGAACTGTCAGGAGAGACTGTCTGGCTTGTGAGCCTCACTCACATTTTCAAGGTGAAATCATCAGAGTTTAGATCAGCAAGGGATTTCCTCACAAATCAAGTCAGCAGGAACTTCAGGGTGAGTGCTGCTCTCCTGGGGACRTAGCAGTGAGTGTCCAGACCTTGTGATACCCTTGAGATTTTTCTGCCCCAAGTGAGCAGCGTGGCTGAGGGCACACTGGCCTGTGCGTGGCTAAGGGCAAGGGAGGACCTGGATGGAGGCCACGAGCTGCTGTCCCGCAGGGAACGTCCTGCAGCTCCCACAGTCCCCACTGCCCTCATCCTTGCTGAGGACGGTTCTCCTGCCCAGGCTGAGATTTACTGCTTGATGCTGCTCCTGTTTGACTTGAACAAGCTGCTTTCCTTTAGCTGCCCTTCACATGTTGCTAGAGAGCAGGCAGGAATTGAATTTCCCTTCTGCAGAGAATTCTGAAAATAGCTTTGTCTGTCTCAGAGGAAGAAACATAACTGCTGTCACGACATGCTGCGGTGACCTTGCGGAGCTGCTGCACCGGTTCCCTGCACGCTGGTGCTTCCGTGGCTCCCCTTTTCCCAGAGCTCCAGGTGGCTCCGGCTGGGAGAGCTCTTCCTGCCCGAGCCCCTGGCTTTAGCTCCGCTCTGTTCCTCACTGCTGTTCCCGGCAGCAGAGCAGAGGAGCTGAGTGCTGCTCGCTGTGGGCTGGCCCTGCTGTCAGTGTGTTGCAGGGAGGCCACGGAACGTGTCCGTAGGATGTGTCCGTACCCGCCTGTCAGTGTCAGTGCAGTGACCCCCGGGCTGTGTTGCGCGGGGGCAGCTCAGCAAGGSCGGCTCCACTCGCTCACACCATGGCTGGTGCAGAAGGCCAGGGTTGGAGGTTGCCGAGGAGAAGCGATGGGAACTGAGGGCTGCCAGGAGGGAGCGTCGGGCTCTGGAGTTGCGCTGSAGCCCGGCCAGCGCTATGTGACTTTAGGCAAGGCCAGAATTTGCTACCCCTGCCCCCATGCCCGCGTATGCCCTGCGCTGTTCTCTCCTCGCGTTGCTTCCCCGCGTCGCCCCCACACGCAGCCCTGCGCTGCGCAGGGCCCGGGCGCCGCGTGTCGCTCTGCGGTGGGTGTCGCTGCCGGCCGCAATGGCAGCGTGGGCCCCGTGTCTGCCCTGCCCGTGGTGCCAGGGCTGGGGACGGGTGGCTTTGCCCCCGCCTGACCTCGGGGAGCCTTCCTGTGCTCCCACTGCTGCTTTTTGCCTTTCCTGAGTCTGAAAGAACAAGGAATGTGCTTGATCTCAGAGCCCACCCCCAGCGCTGCAGATGAGGAATTGCCTTTAGCAAGGGGGACAGTGGCATGTCCCTGTGCCACGTGCTCTGGGTGTCCCTGCTGGATAAAGCAGTTGGACGAGATGATCTCTGATGCTCCCTTCCAACCTCAGCCATTCTGTGATTCTGTGATTCTGTGATTCTGTAGCTCTGTGCTGCTGTGATCCCCACAGCTGCAGCTCTGTGCTGTGCCCTGCCTGGCAGGGCGGCCCTGGTGCTGTGCACCCGCGGTGGCCTCCGGGCTGGCCGAGGACTCGGAGGCTGGCCGAGGCACTGCGGGAGGGTCGGCAGGGAGTGGGGACGCRCTCTGCAGCTGCCCCGGCTCCTGCTGCAGGCACAGGGAACGCGGAGGACTCGTGGTGCCACCGCGCACGGTGCTGGTGCTGATGGACACACAGCGTTTGAGCTGTCCCCTGTGCTGCTGCTCCTCAGTTAAGATGTTGCCCATTAGATGTCTTGTTGGAGGAACAAGTTGGGCATTTTCAGCTCCTGTGTGGAAAGGGAGGGGTAATTGGAAGGGACAGAGGCAAAGTAAGGTTTGATTTGGCTGCCTTTGGAAAGTTGGCACATGGACCTACCTGAGGCAACTGCTCAGCGCGTGTCGTGCAGCACAAACACGTCCTCCGCTTGGCCCATCGTTGGTGTCTCTGGCAAGAAAAAAAAGCCAAGAGAAACTTGTGTAGCCCCTTGCCCTGAGAGGAGCCCCTCGAGGAGGGCAGAGGAAGCTGAAGTGAGCGCCCTGCTGCCGTTCTCCTTAAGCTTTATTCATGGCCATGTAGTACGAGGAGGTCTGTAGTCTCTCTCCTTCTCAATTTCTTTCCCTAAGCTGCTCTCTGCATTCCCAGGCGTGGCCTCCTAGCTGGAATTCTCCCTGGCTGCCCATCCTGGGACCATGTATGATGTGTGTGAGCCCAACGCGCTCAGGAGACAGTGGCTCCTTGTTCCCGTCTGTGCAGTCAGCACCGCTCCTGGGCCAGGAACAACACCGCGGTTTTGCTGCAGCCGAATCCTTGTTGACTTCGCCAGTGATCCCAGCTCAGGAAAATGCTCTGATTTGTTGCAGTGGGCACATGTGGACACAGCACGCTCCTTGGTGCCCAGGCAGATGCTTGTGGTTTGTGGCCATGTGGCCTGTGGCCTCCTGACAAGGGTTTACCAAGCTGCGAAAATTTGTGGAGAGCAGACAGCTATTGTGGTTTTCGATATGGGAGGATTGGTGAAAGCTCTGTGTTATCTCAAATGTGTTTTGATGCATCTCCTGCGTGCCCAAAGCCATTGCCTTGTGGCCCAGTACAGACAGCACTGGACCTTCATTGCTCCTGGGTTAGCACAAGCTGCACGCCCCAATCTAGGAGTGATTTTCCTTGTGAGTCTAGGAATAAAAAGCAGCATCATGAACATGTCCTGACCCAGCACTGAGCTAGGAGGGTGCTCTAAGGGTTGTCAGCCCCATGAGGAACAGAGCGATGCTGCAGACCCAGGGAAGGGCAGCGTACAAGGAGGAGAAGGTCCTGCAGATCTTCCTTCTCCTGCGTGTGCCACTGCATGGGGCTGGGCACTGCCCCACTGCTCTGGTTTGTAGCACCGTGACTGGGGCAGTCACGTTGCTGGTGCCTTGTGTTTCCTTGCGAGTATCCCCTTGAATGGTGCCGTGTTCTGAGAGGTGCTGAGTCCCCACTSTGCTGGGGAGGCATCGCCTGGGCCTTCTGCTTGGCTGCCAAGCCCAGGGAACAAAACCTAATGGGGGTGATTTCAAGATGATAGTGGCAGAGCAGATGGTTTGGAAAAGGGCTTTGTGCCTGTGATCTGACAGCTGCCATACGGAGAGCTTTCCTGCCCTGGGTGTGTTTCTCTGCCCTCACGCTTGTTTTATCACAACTTCTGTGTTCACCTTCCATCAGCTTTTGTTTAGATGGTCTCTTGAGTTGCTCCGAGAGGCCTGTGGCTCCTGCAGCTGCAGCAGGAGATGTGGCTGGGAGAGGGGCAGGAGCAGGGCAGGAGYCCGTGTCCTTCCCCGTGCAGGCAGGACGCGCTCGGCAGCCCCACGCTCAGGTGCAGGTTCCTCTCACACCACTGATGTTGGCATCTTGTGACTTTGTTATATGTGCCGAGGTGTTAAACCCCTAGCTCCTAGAATTGGATGATTATATGAGATTATCAGCTTTTCTTTGTCTCATGTGAATTAGTTTCCAGTTTCTATGACTGCATAATAAAGCTGGGAGGTATGGCCTTATAAACATCCCAAATGTGAAATGTAAATGGTTTCTGTGTTAGTGCTAAGCTCTTGCTGGGAGGGATGTTCGCACTTGATAAACACACAAATGCTGCTTTATTTTGGACTTTCACCACAACCAGAAAGGCTTTCGCCACAGAACTGCTGTGCGCTCCAGGACACATCAGCGGCCTTGTCCAAGCAGAGGCTCCCAAAGAGCCTGTGCAGGGCAGTAGGGCTGGAGCTGTCCTGGGCAAACAGAGCCCCTCAGCCAGGGTTGCAGTCTGGGCTTAGGTTTGGATGCACTTTTGGGCCCCCTTAATCCTCAGGGCCGGAGCAGCGCGCAGGGCCCACAGCAGCCTCCTTGCAGCTGCCTGAGAAATGCTCATCCGAGCAGGCCCAGAGGAGCCGGCCGCGGAGCCGGGAGCCCGGCTGGCCGTGGTGGCCCTGGTGCCGCCGGCGGTGGCTCTGGTGCCGCCTGCGGTCCTTTGGTGCCGCCCGGCGGGCAGGCTCCACCCGCAGCACAGGGAGGGAGGCCGGAGGCCGGGGCAGCTGCCGCAGCCCCGCACGGCTGCTCGCGCAGGCGGGGGGGCTGCCGTGGGTCCGGCCAGGCGGGCAGGGAACACATGGGCTGGGTGTTTTTCCCTTGGCCCGCGCTGGCTGCCCGTCCCGCCGACCGCGGTCATGGATTCGCTCATTATTCAGGAGCGGTTGGTGGAGAAGCTGCTTTCCCCCCGCGCGCAGGCACAGCGAAGCCACCCGGGCAAGCTGAAGGTACCGCGGGTATTTATAGCTCGCGCGAGCCGCGGAGCAGCGGGCGCAGCAGGGGGGAGATGGTGCCCGAGCAGACGCAGGACGGGGCCTCYGAGGAGCAGGGGGGCGGAAGGAGGCTGGTAAGGGGGACACGCAGGGGCAGAAGGGCCGTGGGGCAGCACGGGCGCCTGCTGTGATGTCCTCAGACGGCTCCTCCATGCAGGGATTCCCTGGGCTGAACGTGCGCGTTGGGGGGCCCGGGCACAAGTTCGTGGCACCCTCCGCTCTGTGCTGGCGGTTAAGTCTGTGTTTTCCTTGCCTGTTTTCTTCCTGCTGCAGCTGACGCTGGGGGTGAGTGGTTTTGCTGCTGTTCCCATCTCAGCCCTGGACATGAGGGGCAGCTGCACGCGGGGAGGTGCTTCCAGGGCTGTTTGTGTCTGGAGCCTGTGGAAATGAAGGGATGAAAGCGGAGGAGCCGCCTGGGCCCCGGGGCTGGGCTGTGCAGATGCGGCTCTGGCGGCAGGGCTGGAGGGAGGGAGGGCGGCTGATACTCCGGCGCCCGCGCAATTAGACAGCCCTGGGCAATTAGGGGATGCTGCAGCCCTGCAAATGGCTGTGCACGGTGGCGAGAGGCATCCTGCTGTTTGTGTGTTCAGAGGAAGGGGAGTGGATACAGGAAACACCCGGAGCCATAGGTTTGGGGCAGGGCATCCTAGCAAAAGCTCTGTCCTTTCTTCCTTTGCTGCAGGCTGGGGATAGAGGTCCCTCCTCCATTTTCCATGGCCCCACAGTGTATAATTCTGGCGCTTTTGAATGCACTCAGCAAGGCCCCGCTTCCATGATAAATGATGAAACGGCAGCAGGCCTGGATCGGCCTGGGTAGCCTGTGAAGCAGGAGCTGCGGGGCGGGAGCCGGGAAAGCAGCAGCCTGGGAGCGCCCCCATGCCTGCGGGGCCCTCCCTGCCGGACCGCACGTGTCCCCAGCGGCCGGAGCCGGTTGGGAGCCGGGCCTGGRCCCACCAGCGCTTTGGTGCTGGGCACAAGCTGCCTGGGGAGCATCGCCTGCCCCAGGGTGCCCGGGGGAGCTGGGGTGCTGCTGCCACCGCCGGGCAGCGGCGAACCCCAGGGAACTGCGCGAGGCCACAGGGGGCTGCAGGGGCACCCTGGGGGAGAGCGGGGCACCCGCGGCCGCTGTGTCCCCGGCACACGGAGAGGGGCTGCCCGCGCTCTGCTCTCTGGCAGCGGGAGGGAGCGTCGCCAGCGCCCACTGTCCCAGCTGGGCAGCTCGGCAACGGTTGGGAACGTGGGGCTGCGATGCCACCAGCGACCCAAGGCTGCTCCTAGCCTGTCACTGGTGTGTTAGGGGGGAGCTCAAGTCTGTCACCTGTGTATTTAGTGGGAGGGAAGACTCTCTTCCCTCTGACAAGCCAGGGAGGCACCTTCCCTCTCCCACCAGCCCTGCCGCCCGCTCATGAGGCTGCGGAGGAGGAGCGTGAATGACAGAGCTTTGAGCTCTTGTCCTGGCAGGAGGGGAGCTCTGCGCCGGGCCCTGCGCTCTGCCCTCCTGTCCTCCGTGCAAGGGAAGCGACCGCCAGCTACAGATAAAGGGCAGCAACCTGCCCCAGCCAGGATTTACAACTGTGACCTGGCATGTGCTGGTCTCCCTGAGCTGGGAGGAAGCCACCAGAGTTACAGTAAGCCCCAGCTCTCTGGCCTGACCTCAACAGAAGCAAGAGATCAGGCCAGTTGCACTTGGCACAGGCGGACAAGAGAAGGTCTGATACTGATGGAAAGATGCTCCAGGTTCACATGGCGTTGAACAGGACAAATTTATTTAAGGATTTAAAAGACATGGGCAGCCCCAGGAACTGTACGGAGGGATTGCTGATGGGCGGCTGTGCGAGGAACGGATCAGATGCCCAGATTGAATGCCCAGGAAGGACTCGACTCATTGTATCTTAAGGGCCCGTCAAATCTAGCAGAACTCTTTCCTTATCTCAGCTGCATGGCCTTGAGAAGTGGCTGCCCGGGAAGCTGCTGGATGCCCTGGCAGGAGGGAACGGGCCTGCCTGGCCCCATAGGGGGTTGGTCAGCAAGCGGTCTCACACGCTGGGGCTGCTGCTGGCTGCCCRGCCGGGCACGGAGCCCTCGCGGGTCTGGGCACTGCGCTGAGCCCTTCGGGAGGCAGGTGGTGGATGTCCCAAGGAGGTCCGRGAGGCTTGGCAGTCCAGGGGAGCTGAGCATAGGGAGAAAGGAGTAAAATCCGCTTGCAGTGACGCTCATCACCTCCCTGTGCCGTCCCGCAGCCCTTGCCAGGGCAGCCGAGCAGCCTGGAAAGGAGCTGGTTAAGCCAACTGGTGAGGCACAGGTACCCTCTCTGCCATGCCCAGAGAGGCTGTGTTAGAGCCACAGGGCAGCAGATCTGCTTGAGAGCATTCGTGGCTGGACTGGGAGCTGGGGCCGCTCTTGAGGAACGTGTGGCTCCATGGACTTGCCTGTGCTGTGAATCCCAGGGGCTTGTTTTAAGTGATTTTGAAACGTGGACTACCTGATGTCTCTAGCTGAGACATTTGTGAATGGCTGCATCCTGTTGGGTCTAACTTGGGAAGTGTGCGAGACAGGCAGCGTTTGYGCAGGTGCGGGGTGCCCTTGTGGAGGCTGCGCAGTCACCGCTGCTCCAGCCCCACGTTGTGGGCAGGGGGGGACCCCAGCTGAGCTGCGAGGGGCCGCTGGAGCAGGTCTGAGAGTTCGGGCGCGGGAGCGAGGCGGGTGGCGCACCCTGACCCGCCACTCTCYGCCTCTGCCCTGCAGGACCATGAGAAGCAGTACGTGGGCTTCGCCACTCTCCCTAACCAGGTCCACCGGAAATCTGTGAAGAAGGGTTTCGACTTCACCCTGATGGTCGCAGGTGAGGCCGCCCCGCAGCTCCTGAGCACACGGGTGTCCCGGGAGCTGGCGGGCTTGGCTTGGCTGGGGGCGACGCTGTCAGTTTTCCAAAGGCCGACCCTGGCAGCAGTCGTGTGCCAGCAGCAAAACACCTGATTTCCCAGTCCATTGAAACCAGGAAGATGGCTGGAGGAACGAACAACTGAGCGAGCCCTGAGCTGATGCCCGGCCCTGGAGCTATCCTGGCCTGACTGTTTCTAGATCCTTCCCCTGAGCAGGAGGCTCCCAGTTCAGAGAGCAAAATCCTAATGCCTGGGGCATTGCTGTCCTCTGTCTGTGATTCAATGGAACTGGGGATTCACCCTCTGTGATACTGGCCCCTCAATTTGCCCTCACATTAACTGTGCTATGTCCCCAGATAGTCTAGAGACTCCACACCAGGGATGGAGATGACTGGTCAGACAGTGAGTGCATAGAGGGGACCAACTGTTCTTGCTTTCCGTAGATGCTGTCTTAGCAGCTGGACCCTTTCCCTGTCTGCTTACATGTGCTTTAGCCCTGACTTGTGTCATGGTCACACACTTACCTAGAGGAGTGGACCCCCCTTGCCCACCACTAGCCCTCTCCAGCACCACATGTAGCTGCTGCTGCAGCAGAATGGCTGCTCTGCAGGCAAGGCCAGCCGGGGACTGCGATAACGGGAAGGGAGAGAGGAGGTGGAGGAGCTGGGAGATCACGTTTGTGCAGGGATTGAGATATCTTGCAGCAAAAGTCCTCCCACTGCTGGAAAAATGTAACACCCATAAACAGCTCCTGACGGCTCATCTCTCTCTCTGGCTCTGGATTCAGAGGCTTGCTCAGAGTTTCTTTTGTATCTCAATTAGTGGGTCATGTTGCTTGCTTTTTCCTCCTCCCTTCTGTGCTCTGTCAATTAGGAGAGTCGGGTCTGGGCAAATCCACCCTCGTGAATAGCCTGTTCCTGACAGATCTCTACAAAGACAGAAAGCTCCTCAACGCAGAGGGTAAGTGGAAGACAAAGTGGGGCAAACGTGTTATATTGCCACAGCTCTAGGCTGTCCCAGAACTGGCATTGTTGTCGGTGTGAGTGGTGATCCCCAGCATCACGGCCTGGCCTTAATTTACCTATCCCTTTTCAAAGAGAGAATCAACCAGACAGTAGAAATCGTCAAGCACACGGTAGACATTGAGGAGAAGGGTGTGAAGCTGAAGTTGACCATAGTGGACACACCAGGCTTTGGAGATGCTGTTAACAACACTGAGTGGTGAGCAGGCCTCTCTCCTTCCTCCTTGTCCCTGGCCACATCTGTTTTCTGCGGGTGCATCGCAGGGAGGGCTCTGGCAGTGGGAAGGGGGTGCAGCAGTCCCTTGGGAGCACTGTTCTGTTAAACATATGGATTGCATTTGGTCTGAATTTGGTCCTTCCCCAGCTGGAAGCCCATCACTGACTACATCGACCAGCAGTTTGAGCAGTATTTCCGAGATGAGAGCGGCCTGAACCGGAAGAACATCCAGGACAACCGAGTGCACTGTTGCCTCTACTTCATCTCGCCCTTCGGGCATGGGTGAGAGCCCCACTCCAGGGCAGGGCACTGGCTGTGACTCCAACCTGGGGGCAGGGGCTCCTGCCTCGATTGCCCGATAGGGCCCTGTGTTGGCAGGGCTGTCGCACGGGTGAAGAGCAGCTGGCAGCTCTCAGCATCACACAGTGTCCCTCCCCTTCGTGGACGTGACAGCCACTGCCCTTGTCATCAGGAAGGACTGGTCTCCCTCAGGCCTGCAGTCTGTTTTGGAAATCAAGAGAAAAAAAAAGACACACAGACTTGTATCTACTTAAGCCTAACTGGTGGGGAGGAAAGGGAATTTTAAGCCACCTTCAGCCTATGCCAGACCTTGCACACAGGTTTGTGCCCCAGCATGGCTGGGAGCAGTCCCAGGGGCTGGGGACACTGCYCATGGTGGCTGCCTGCAGCACAGGCTGCAACGTTTGGCCTGTGAAGGAGTGAGTACCCGACCTGGGTGTGTGTGTGAGGCCTTTCAGCAGCTCAGCCCTGAGAGCTCCCGCAGATATGGTCCCAGCTGAGGGCTCTCCCGGGTTGTCTGTGGCCCTTCTCACTAGGCCTGGGCGTGAGGTGGGAAGGGCTGGAGGGGCAGCTGCCTGGGGTATCCCTGCTAACCCCTCGTCCTGCTGCAGGCTGAGGCCGGTGGATGTCGAATTCATGAAGGCTCTGCATGAGAAGGTCAACATCGTGCCCCTCATTGCCAAAGCTGACTGCCTGATTCCCTCTGAGATCCGGAAACTAAAAGAGAGGGTGAGATCATGTTTCTCTATGGGAAAATGTCCTGATGTGGCAGCAGAGAACATGCAGAGTAGGGGGAGCAGATTAGTACCTGCAAATCTCATTTTAATGGTGCTCTGAGATACCTGTGGGAAAGGAAGCACTGCTTAGAGAGGCCTGCTCTGTAGGAAGCATCAAATCCCTTCCCCATCTGTAGGCTGTAGCAAACCCATGGCAGAAAACATGAAATAAACCCAACACCTCTGTATTGTTCAATGTTACCTCTTCTTGTTGCTTTGTATGGACACAGATTCGGGAAGAGATTGACAAATTTGGTATTAAAGTGTACCAATTTCCGGAGTGTGACTCTGATGAAGATGAGGAATTCAAGCAACAAGACAGAGAACTGAAGGTAAGGAAGCATCTCAGCAACATGCTGGATCTCTGGCTGGTGGGTTTGTTGTGCAGCCCACATGGAGCCAGAGCTGCTGTATACAGTGTACACAGACTCTTGTGAAAGCCTGGAGAAGGGAGCCAGTGTCCATCCTAGCGTCATGAAATCATGTGCCACATAAAGACACAGGACTTCTGGTGTCCCTCCAGGTAGTGTCAGTGCTTCCTTAGCTGGAGGCACCAGCAGCCTAGGGCAGACCCTTTGCAAGCTGGGCCAGCCTGGCTTGCAAGCGGCATGTATGCAGCATGGCCTGGTCTCTCCTGCTGGACATGGGCTTTGGCTCCCTCCTGTCCAGCGAGGTGCTTGGCCTGAACCTCACTGACTGCACAAGCCTTGGGCCTGCCTTGTCCCACTTTGTTTTGGTGTCCAGCCTCTGCCCTGACTTCTCTGTAGAGTTTCCTATCAAAAAAACAGAGCTGCAGAGAGACAGCTTCCTTCAGGACAGCCTGCAGGGCTTCCTTCAGGGCACGTTGRCAATCAGGCTGCCTGCAGACCCCAGTGCCTGTAGGCTTTTCTCTGCGTGCACATTGTGGTGTCTGAGCTGGAGCACACATGGGTGTCCCTGTGCGTTTCCCACCTGCGCCTTTCTCTGCCTGTTACATATATTGTGACGTATGTTGTATRTCCATTCCAGGAGAGCGCTCCCTTCGCTGTCATTGGCAGTAACACCGTGGTGGAGGCAAAAGGCCAGAGAGTCCGGGGCCGGCTCTACCCCTGGGGCATTGTGGAAGGTAAGTGCAGTGCCCAGGAGTGGCAGCCTGGAGGGACAGGACCTGGACGTACAGCGGGGCTGTGGTGAGAACACGGCGTCCCTGCCACCTCTGCAGCCCCAGGCACRTGGCAGGGTACAGATGCAGGCCTGACTGGGATGCCTGTTGCTGACCTCTGGCAAGTGCAGGCAGCAATTGCCCGATCTCTGAGACCATAACAGGGTGAAGAAGAGGAGCTGCAGCCTGAATAGAGGAAGCTCTGGGCTTTAAGGCATTAGGACATGGTCTCTTGTTAAGGGCACTGCCAGTTCGGTGTCTGGGGAGAACCCACTCACGCCCCCTCCTCTGCTGCTGCTGTCATGAGTGCTGGGCTTGGCCACACGGGATGCAGCTGGGGACAGGGGATCACAGAATCACACAATGGCTGAGGTTGGAAGGGACCTCTAGAGATCATCTAGTCCAAACGCCTCTGCTCCAGCAGGGACACCTGGAGCACGTGCAGGGACACCTAGAGCATGTCTAAGGGATGGATGCTGGGAGGCCGTGCAGAGGGCAGGGCTTCTCGCTGCTGCCAGCCAGTGGCTGAGACAGTGGCTTGCAAGGYGGTCTGTGGTGGCAGCACACATCTGGGGAGGGGATGCCAGGAGGTGGTGCCTGTGGTACTAGGACAGCGGTACTGTACTAGTACTAGGCCACCAAAGCCTCTTGTGCTCCGTGCACACAGTCTGGGCTGTCCAGCTGCTGCGGGCGGCRGTGCCTGTCGGGTGCTGGTGTCCGGCTCCTAGTTCCTGCTGACGCAGCCCAATTGCCCCAGCCAGCAGAGGTGAACAGGGAGCAGCTGGAAGGAGGCAAGCGGGGCTGGATCATCCCCGGGACTGACCATGGCTGCGGAACTGTCCAGCCTGGTGGCGACCGTGCAGCCGGGAGCACTGCGCCTGCCCGCAGAGCCCTGCGGCGCGGCCGGGCTCTCGGGGCTAACAGCAGCGCRCTCAGCTCTCCACAGCGCTGCTCCCCGAAGGCTTTGCTTGCTCTGGGGATGATGCCAACCCCCAGGGAAAACTGCCCTCTAACTGCCTTTCAGTTAGTCCTAAATTCTGAGGAGAGGAGCGGCTTGGCTCTCACGCTTGCAGCGGTTGCTGTRGTTATACCAGCTACAGCCCAGGTACCGGGAGCAGCATCCTCACTCAGGCCTCTTCTATATGTGCTTAATTAATCCTCTTACCCAGAAAAAGTCCTGGGAACACAGTGACCTCCGCAGCCTGTCTCAAGGTTGACAAGCGCAGTCTGTTGTGGAGCATCAGCAAGGGCTGCTCTGGGGCCAGGAGGGAGAGCCCTGGGCACTGGGAGAGAGGTGTGGGTGGATGATGGGGAACTGGGAGGGGTTTCAGTCTGGGCTGGGTACTGGGAAATGATCAGGGGCTCCAGGCTCCCCAGAGAGGGCTGGTGAGGTGTGAAACCCAGACGCTTTCGTGTTGTTGCTTCTGCAGTGGAAAACCAGGCGCACTGCGACTTTGTGAAGCTGAGGAACATGCTGATCCGGACACACATGCATGACTTGAAAGATGTCACTTGTGATGTCCACTATGAGAACTACCGAGCTCAGTGCATCCAGCAAATGACCAGGTGGGTCCCTGCTGCTTCACCCACGGATGGCAGGGGTGTTTCGCTCTCTTTGGATCCTGCACAGAGGCCTTGGGAAATAGGCCTGGAGATAAAAAGTTTGTCTGAGGAGCTTTTCCTAGCACTGGGTGGAACAGTTTAATGGAACAGAGAATAAACCMTTTCTCTGATGGGTGGTAGCTGCGTACATTGCTGAAAGAGGAGAATGTCTGTCATGTCCCCTCAGCAGCTACAGCTCTGCTTGAACGACAGCATCACCCTTGGGATGCTGCGGTTGCTCGGACAACAGAGCCCAAGCAGTTAACACTTACTGAGCCTTAACTCCAAAGATTTCTCTGCCTTGTCTTGCTGTTGCATTTGATTCTTTATGATTTTAATCACAGTGATGAGAAAATAGGAGAGAACATGTGCAAGCCACCTCCTTTTTTCCTTTTCCCTTCTACAACGGATTCTGGCTCCTCTGTTGTAAACTGTACCCTTCTCTCCCTGCCTGAGCTGACTGGTGACTGYGCTGCCACGTTGCAGAGCAGAAAAGGCAGCACTTTCCTGAGAAGCAGTGCTGCRTGTGTGTGTGTAAATGTGCAGGCTGGCAGGCTTAGGTCATGCAGAACATACCTCAGTACTCCTGCAGAACAGATGAGTCTGACTTTCTCAGCAGTGAAAATGTGGAGTCCCAAAATAACTGTGTGAAATGCTTGACATCTTTGAGAAGTGTCACAGTCACTATCTGGATAGGATTTGTGTCTGTAAGAAGTAAAAAACAAAGAAGCAATTGCTCCACTGAAGAAATACCTTAAAGCATATTTAAAGTTTGATGCCATTTCTCATGCTTTGACTAATTCACTGCTGGTGAATGTGAGAGAAGCAGAGCATGGCAATGTCTAGCATGGGGATAAAGGTTCATCTCTGGAGAGATTTTTCTGGGAGGAGATCCCAAGCTCCAGGGCTGGAATTGCCTCAGTGATGATCCTTTGGTGACTCCAAGTGGTGAATGCCGGCAAGTGGCAAATTCCSGATTCCGGCTCAGACCTCCCTACCCCTCTGGCCTCTGCCACCTCCTGTCACTCGCAGGCAGCTGGTGCACTTTGCGGGAGGCAGTAATCTCCCTCTGTGCTCTGCACACCCRTTCCTTGGGGAAATACTGCGCTAGGCTGTGCCTGCTTTCTCCTATCTCCCACCTCTTGAATGAATATAGCAACCAGACTTMTGCTATCAGACTTGCAGTGGTTAAACCGCTTCCCTGGTTTTATCTTTCTGAAAAAATGGCCATGGGGAGTATGCAGAGCCATGGAGATGCTGCAGTGCAGGCTGGTGCTGTGTGCATGTGCAGGATGTGCACTGGAAGGCACACACATGCACAGAGGTGGGCAAAAGGAGACCAGAGAAATCGGTCATAGATGTCCCTGGTAAGGCTGCCAGTGCCGTCACATAAGGTGGTCAGAAGTACCAGTCTTTCTCTGCCTATTTTTGCCTTCAGTGGTCTGAAAAACTGTTTTAGGGTTTTGCCAATGCTATCTACCCACAGGCTTCTGGTTTTACCTGTATTGACTGTGGTCTGAGCCTGCCCCCAGGGCATCCGGCAGCGCCCCTGTGCCGGGCTGGGTTTGTGCCGCTGTGGTGCTGGCGGTTCGGGGCCCTCAGCTGACTGCCCTTCTCCCCTCTCCATCTCCCCAGCAAGCTGACGCAGGACAACAGGATAGAAAGCCCTATTCCTATCCTGCCTCTCCCAACACCTGACACGGAGACGGAGAAGCTGATCAAAATGAAGGATGAGGAGGTGAGACCATTTCCTGCCTAGGCCCCCTTGGTGTTAAAGCTGGAACCTGAAAAGTTTCTCCTAGTTTGCCCCACAGAGGCTGCCCTGGGGCTTCCCACTCCTGTCTCCCATCAATGCTGGTTGCTAATGTAGGGAGTGGGATGTGAACACTGTGTGCTCTGCCAGGGGACCCCAGCYGTGTTCCACCCTGGGCACTGTAGCCTTTCTGAGGGAGGCCTTTGCATCTCCTAAAGGATTATACTGTCACCCTACGGCCCCTTAAAGTATCTAATCAGCACTGCGCAGGGCAAGTGTCCTCTGTCCTGGCAATCACAATGGTGGGAAGTGGCCACCAGGGTAGTGATGGGTATCCTGGCAGCTCCTGCAGACTTATGCAGCCCAGCAAGGCCTGCCCACTGTCCTGCCAGGCCTGGCAGCAGCTTCTCATCTGCCTGCTCTGGTTCTGGATCACCTGGCACAGTGATGGGGCAAGAATGGACTTTTCCAAGAGCAGAAGGGGAGCCTGAAACCCTTTTCATGGGATCCCTGCCCCTCTGCAAATCAGTGGCCCCCTGCCACAGCAGATCTCCCCTTTGACCATCTCTTCTCTATCTCACACAGTTGCGGCGGATGCAAGAAATGCTGCAGAAGATGCAGCAGCAGATGCAGGATCAGTGAAACACAGGTGTTTGGAGGGCCAAGGGAATCAGCGGGTGACCGTCTGAGGCCTGGCTTGAGCTGTGGACGTTTAAAAAGAGGTTCCCTATTGTGTAGAGACTCGTGGGCAAGAGCTGCACCCACACCCTCTAATTTATTAGCAGCAGTGCTGGCTTTGTAGTCAGCCAGATTGTGGAGGAGGCTGTTCACTTAACAGTTTACTGATGTATATTTCTTTTTTTTTTTTTAATTATTACTTTTTTTTTTTTTAAAGAAAAATAGCCTGGGAAATATCTAAGGCATCCTAAGAAAAGAAAGATCCACCTTTCCCATGTACTGATTTCTTGTTTGGGAATGCTCTGGTATTTAAATCATGTTTTTTCTGGTGTACGAAATTGAAGATTATGTGTCCATGCACGTAACTGTTTACTCCCAGCTGAGGTGCTGTGCCCCTCTTTCCCTCCCTGTGTCCAGGGCCAGGCATTGTAAAGGAAGATGTTCCCTCCGTGAATTCACCCCATGCTGCCCAGGCTTCTCAGCCTGCAGAGAGAGCAGGGCCTGATATCTCTGTGCACTGACCTGCTGAGGGGTCCTAACAGTTGTGTGGTTCCCTGGCTATTATTCTTCCCTTTGGTTTTGTTTTTCCTCTCAGCAAACTCCAGGGTCTTTGCACTGAGTGGCAGGGGACAGTTTCTCTAGGTCAGTTAGAAGAAGGCACTTCCAGCACCCTCAGCGAGGTGTTTCTGGCAGCAAGGAGAAGCTGCAGCAGCCTGGCTGCAAGGAGGGCTTGGGAGGCAGCCCCTTTGCAGCCTGCCAGCTGCTGCGAGTTGTGCTTTGGGGATGTGGTGGCAGCACCTTGCAGAAATGCCAGGACGCCCAGTGGCTGCTCAGAGTGTCCCATAGCTCTGGTCTTCCCCCTTTGCTTGGAAAAGTACCATGGCAGCCAGAGTGCTTACCTGGGCCTGCTTCAGAGGAACAGAAAGCCCGGAGTTGAGAGCCAACCCCAAATTCACAGCTGTGCTTTGTCCCCAAGCTTGCAATTCCACAAGAGTTGCTGGCGCTGTGGTTCTCCTGGGGTAAGAGGCATTTTGGGGTGTTAGTGCCAGAGCTCTGCGAGCCGCCTGTCCCACCAGGCTGCCTTGTAGGGACAAGAGGTGGCAGAGGGGCAGCGGGCGGGTGCACGGATGGCTCTGCAGGGCTGAGGACAGCCCAGCAGACTCGGTACTGCCTCCCCTCCCCTTTCCCTGAGACTCAGCCCTTCTCCCTGCTTCCTGTCCCCAGCTCTTCCTGTCTCAGTGCTGGGGAGGCTGGTGGATCTGCTGGGTGGAGATAAGAGTGTTCCTTGGACAGCAGCTYCTGTCCCATTCTTGCTTCCTACAGTATTTTAAACTTCTAGTGCAGCCAGGGGAGAGCCAAGGGCACAACGTGTCTGACAGCGCAAGTCTCACTCAAAACASTGCCGCGCTCGCAGGGAGCTCAGGGCTCTTGCAGGGAGAGACACTTGGCTCTTCCCTCCAGCACCAGAGAGCACCACTGGGATGAGGACCTGCTCCTCTGGCTCGGTCCCCATCGCTCCGTCTACACGTGTGCATGTTGCTCCTGCCCTGCTCTGGCTCTCCCCACTAGATCTCTCTGGTTGGGAATAGCCAGGTGCTGAATTCTTTTGTTAGGTGCTATGCTTGTCTGTGTGGCAGTCCACCACACATGTCTTCTCTCCATGAGGCTGTAGTGTCCTGATCAGAGCTTGTTCAGGAGGTGAGTAGGTTGGCTGGTTCCAGTTATTCACTACACAGAGCCAGAACACGGGTCATACGGGCAAGAGAGACCCTGATGAAGCGCAGAAGGACAAAGTGACAGGAATGTGAAAGCTGGACAAGAACAATGTCCAAGGCAAACCTCTTCAAAGTGACCTTTTGCTCCCTCAGAGAGGTGAGAAGTAGGCAGGGGCATTGGGAACAAGCTCAGCAGGGCTGGGGCAACTGTTCTGCCTAAAATGCCAACATTTTTTCTTTCTTTCTCCCCCATGTCAGGCATGTAAGTGACAGTGGCAGTGCCAGGGACAGATGCTTCAGGAGGAGATACAGCCTTTCTTTCTGCAGTTTGCCTGTTTGAGGAACAGAGTAGCCTGAGGTGAGAGCTTCCTCCAGGCTTTCTGGAAGAGGTTTGCTGCTGTCCCAAAGTAGGAGGACTGCTGACTTCTCAGCTTTATTCGTACTAGCATAACTGGAAACACCTTGGAGTGTCTGCTCTTGCTCTCTTCTTAATTAGTCTTGTCTATGAGGAGGATATTCTGTTGTAACTGAGCCCTGTCCACTTAGAGATGTTCCTCTTTCGAGCAGATTCAGGCCTAAAAGATGGAGACCTTTAGTCTTTGGCATTGACATAGGAGAGAACACCGCCTTTATCTTGGGCTGGGTGCTGGTGAGAACGAAAGGGTCATGGGCAGGCAAGAGTATTGCTGAGTTTTTAGCTGCTTCTGTCCTCTGGGCGAGGAAATCTCCATCAGCACAGTGCATGAGGTTCCTAAAACAAGCTGATGCTTGCAGTTCCACTCTCTCCAGAGAGCTGAAGTCTTCAACTGTCTGCTGGCAAAGACAGTTTGAGTTGTGCTTGGAGAAAAATGCATATCAACGAGGTATTAGAGAAACAGCTTCTGCAGAGGGCTATGATACTGCTGATACTAGTGTCCCTGCATCAGGAGGTTCCTTTCCCAGAGCATCAGAGTTGGGGGCTGCAGGAAACAGGTTAGAGACTGAGTTCTGCAAGGGCACCAGAGATCCAGCCTTTGGCTCAGTGGGCAGCATGCATTTATTAAAGGAGAAATGCTCTGTACTGTTGAGCTCAGCTGCACTATAAGTGGARAAGGGATTGCTGAATGAAAGTAGCTTGGCCACTTGGCTCTGGCAGCCATAGAAGCAGAAGAGTGGACAGAAAGGTAATTTAACGCCCCCTTCACACAACCCAGTGCGATCTCATACGTAAACCCTGCGCCCACGGGCACTTCCCCCTCCTTCACCACGCTTTGCCCCGCGGAGTGAGTCACTGCGGGAGCTGTGTCCCACTGCCTGGGCAGAGCTCTGGGGCTCAACCTGGGGGCTGTCGGTACCTCTCAGACTTTGTGCCTGCCTGGGGAGGGAGCCAGGGCTCGAGCTCGCCGTGTGCTGTGCCAGTCCTGCCTGTGCAGTCCCCCTTGCTGCCGCCCCGCATGCCCCTCCAGGGAAGGAGGGGGTCTCCTTTGTGCTGTGCAATGTTCCCTGCTCCCTCCTCACCAGCCCAGCTCTGCTGTAACGCTGGCCTGCTCCTGCCATGCGGCTTCCTCATCGACTTCCTTGTCCCTCTGCTCTATTCCTAGGCTCTTTGTTTCCTGGCCAYCTGTTGGATTGTTATAATATATATTTTTTTTGTAAATTTCTGTTTGATCATTTTGTCATTGTGAACAAAGAAAAATGAAACCTTTTAAACATATCCATTTTATTAAATGATTATCGTTATTATTATTATTAATGTTTACTACCTGAATTGATCAGTGAAATAAATACATTCAAAAAAATCCCACCTCTTCCTGTTTGATTTTTTCAATGCCTTCAAGTGTAATTGGTGATACACTATTGGGCAGGAGCAAAGAAAATGGACTCTGTTTATCCTTTTAACTGGTGTCATTGCAGTAGACTCCAGGCAGGGCTCCATGCRGGGGATTTCTGGCCTGCATTTGTCAGAGGCCAGACAAGATGGTCCTAAGGTTCTTCTGTCATTAAGCTTCACCTAGAAGAGGTRGCAAAAGACACATAGGTAAGCAAACTTGTCCCTGTTGTGGTCAAGCTAACAGTAAATAGAAAGTACTGCAAGAAAAGCTGGGATGGTTTGTTTCTGAATTCTCTTAACGACAACATATCCCAGGCGTTGGTCATTTCTGGTCTGAGCAGTCTCCTCTGTTATGCTCAGTACCAATGTACACAGTGCAAGGTAATGCAGAGTTGGGCCTGAGAGAGCAACCACTTCAACAATAATTCTAGAGGCATCCTCGTTAAGAAGAGCACGGCTGGTGCAACAAGTGGGGCCCAAAGCAGTAAAAATATRTATGAAGATGTAATGACCTTGAGAAGATGAGATTCTAACTATATAACTTCAGTATATTTTTAACCTTGGACTTTATTGCTAATGTACTTCTGTGCTGCAACTTCTGAGTAAGGGATGTGGCCAGTCTTTCCTGGTAACTGCAAGCTGCACTCGGGCAGAGCTGCCAATTCACTTAGTGCTCCTGGGACAGCTCTTTTAATAGCTATCTTCCCCAGCAGCAGCCAGCTGAATCAGTCCATCATCCTTCCTGTGGATTCAACCAGGTTTATTTTGGTTTGGACAGCAGAATGCTACGAGTTTTATTTTGTCTCTGAAATAAGCATAGGAGGATGCAAGTCTCTAGAGGAACTTTCTCCTTGTCTTGACTACTGAAACCAGTGGGGTCTGCAGATCTTCCACTGCTATTTAAGAGTAGATTTGTGTCACTGCTTCAAGGGAAGCCTCAGGGTCAGCWGTGTGAGGTGTTAGGCTCAACATGCTACTGAAAATAGCCTTGATGAGATGGGAAACCAAAAGTCACAGTGCTCAGCAAGTGCAGTACAAACCAGATGAAGGCATATTTTAAGTAATTTGTAGTTGTCACTTATGTTCTTATTGGAAATGGTGTGCTCCTTTATCTCCTGGTCCAGGCCATTTGGTTCTRTGTGTCAGATGTGGCCCCTGTCTCTGCTCATGCATAGTGAACAYGAGCCCCAGAGGGGCTCAATATGAGAAACTTAACTGTTTTCTTCCAAAGGGCTGGAGGAAACACAGGGTATCTGAGGTCACAAGAGAATTACTCAAAGGGTTTGTGTACATGTATTAGTCAGCTGTTAATCARGCACAGGCCAATAGCTGTACTTGATCTATCCTAGCAAGAATCTGCAGAYGTATATGTTTTGTCTATAGAAGAATGATAAGGAAATATTTGGCCATATAGGTTGCTACCTTTAGCAACAGCATACTTGAATTTACTGCAGTGCTGGGCCACTTGTTAGCCACAGCACGAGGACCCAGAATCAGTCCTGTCAGTCATCAATGCCATTAGCATCTCTTTTTGAGCAAACATATTCTTGCAAACTCCCATTTCTTGGGAGAGTTGCTTGATGAAGCCTCCACTTCCGGTGCCATGCAGCAAACGTGCAGGAAGGCCCCATGTGGGAGGTGTCCCTGGGATGAGCTGGACCCTTATCTTGCCAAGACAGCTGCAAGGGGAGCCGGGGATCTGAGAGCTCAGCTATGCAGCTGCAAACACTCCTGCACGGGCTGCACTGCCTTAGGACCTTCCTCCTGTGTTGTGAAGTCAAGAAAACAAAGATTGATCTACCCTGGTAAGTCAGCAGAAATACTTTGTCTTTTATCCACATTGGGTTKATGGATTGCATAGAAAACCATTGTCTTGTACAGGTACACAGAGGTGTATGCTCCTAAAGAATGTGTAGCAGCTCTGCTGTTCAGAGATGGGCTATGAGATTACTGTGTAAAGACAGCCTATTGTCACATGTCTCCCAGCATGGTCACAGCTCCAGAAAGAAAATTCACCTGCTGGAGCAGTGTCTTGAATGGAAAACCCAAGTGGCCACCTGCCTCTGCCTTCAGTGCTCTGTACCGTCTGTTGTCTCAGGACTCCTTGTAGAGTTCTGCAAGTGTTTACTTGTAGTAACAGAAAATTAATTTTTGAATCTCCTTTTGCAGTTTCTGTGAACAAAGCTTTTGCTTACAGGGGTAATGAGGTGCTAGGCTAAGGCAAAAACAATTTTGCACACTAATTTTTTTACTCCCTGACCTGAATTTTCTTGGTCAACCTAAACTTTCAGTAGTGCAATCCTAAAAAAAAAACCCTTCAACTCTTGCATGCTTTGAATAATTAGTGAAAATAAATTTGACGGGAGCAGTCAAGCTTCCCAGCAAATGTCTGTTCATATTCCCTCGCCCAAAACCAGGGCCAGAAAAACAGGAATATTCCCTCTACTGTAATAGGAGACTAGAAATTCACACATGATCTCTTTTTACTCTCTTCTTTTCAGAGCTCTTACTTGTCCTGTTGAGGACACCAGGTTCACCCAACCTTAAAAATACATCCTTAAAACAGACAAAACTCTGGAGCTTTGCTGGTCAGTCCCAGTGTGTGTGGTGTTTATTTGCTGGGTCTCTGTCTAACCCAATTGCACTATTTTGAGTGTTCACAAATGAAGATGAACAGTGGGATTCTCTTCTTGTCCCTCTTTGGCTTTCTCCCACACGTGGTACCAACATGCCCTGTGCCATGCAAGTGTGCCATGAACATTATCGACTGCTCATCGAAAGGCCTAACTGTTACGGAACTGCCAGCTGCCTTCCGCCCATCCGTTGAAGTTATCCATCTCGGTTACAACATGCTCACGTCTATTCCCAAAGGGCTCTTTGATAACCTGAACAGCCTCCAAGCAGTGCACCTGCAAGGAAACCCTTGGGAATGCAACTGTGACATCCTCTACCTGCGCTCCTGGCTCCAGTGGCAGCAGAACCGGACCCTGTACAGGGATGTGAAATGTGCCTACCCAGCTCACCTGCAGGACCGGATCATCGCCTATCTGACAGAAGACGAGATCATCTCCACATGCCAGTACTGGTACTGCAGCCTGGCTCTCCTCTCTCAGCTCATTCTCTTCATCCTCATTTTATTGCAGGCTGTCTTGGTCATCTTCATCATCATCTACCTGCAGAGATTTCGGAGAATGACTGCTGAAGGCCGTAGCACCACCCCAGGCCTACACCAGCATGTAGATACCCAGGCATCTTCCAGAAACCCCTACGACAGCGATTAACATCATAGGAGCTTTCAGTCCTCTGCTTCTGGGGCGTGCAGGAGCAAGGACCTCCCTTGCTGTGCACAGGCCATGTGGTTGTGATGCTTGAAGGGGACCATCAAGTGCAGTGACTGTTCCTGACTGCCGTCCAGAACAGGACTCAGGCCCAGTCAGACACTCACTGCATTCCCAAAGAGCCCATCCTGTCTTTCTTAACRTTTAAGTTCATCCAGGAGCCAGGAATTAAATTCATCCAGAAGCCAGCAATTGCCTAGACCAAGGGCTCCCTCCAACCCTAGTTGTGAAACACTGAGCRCAGCAGGGATCCAACCTCAGTTGCAGCCTCAAGCTGCAGCCAGCCATATCTCCCACTACTTACCATGTCCCTCAACTAATTCTGGAACAAAGCAAAATTGAAATAAAATAATGATGAGCATGATGTGATTTTTTTTTTCCCTCCCTGCCTAAACATCTCGTGCATGCCCTTGCTTTGCACCAAGGAGCCCAACAGCTGCCACAAACAGCTGCCACACAGCAGCCTCACACCTTGGTACTGGTTGTGGTCCCTGACCATGGGGCCTCCCCAGTTCCTCCATGTCATGAACTGGGGTGGTTTCCGCATCAGCYGGGTGCAAACAAGGGGTTGGCATGGCGGTCCCCAGGACCTCGCCACTCATCCAGGGCTAYCTGATTGTTAGTGTGGAGCACTCCAAAAGCTTTTGTTTGGATAAAAGCAGAGCTCAGCACCAAAACACCCCTCGCCTGGCGCTCACCTGCTTTACTTGCGGGTAAAGCCCCTTTCCCGCCCAGGCGCCATTTTGTGTCGCGAGGCACACACRCTGTCTGCCATGGCGGGAAGAAGCCGTGTAAGAGCTGCATCCCCACTGCTCCTGCACCTGCCTGTGGGGAGCAGGACCTGGTGGCCTTGACTGGCTGCACCTGGGAAGGCTGCCTTAGTCCAGCTGGAGMCCATCTGGGGTGGACGAGCGGGCCCTGATTAGCTCCACCTGGTGAGGCCATTTTAGCCTGGCTGGGGATGGTRTGCAGAGTTGTTCCTGAGGTGAATGGTGAGTGATGGTGGCTGCTATGTCCAAGGCTGTTTCTTTTCCATGTGTTTTGTGGCCCTAGGGTGGGTTTGGTGATACTGGGCCTTCTTGTCCTTAGGATGCAGGAGAGGGGAGGGCTATTTTTGTGGGGTGGCTCTTTCTGAGGAAATGTGTTGCTTTGGGTGTGGTGGTGGGGTTGCTGTTTGG